TGCTCTTTCCACTATATTGCTCCTACCCATATATAATATTGTCAGTACTCTTACATGATGAAAAGGCACAGAGAGTCAGTAATCTGCTCCCACCCCAATCAGGAGGTATAAGTCCCATTGCATTCTGCCCTGGTCAGACCACATATAGAGTTTCATGTTCAGCTCTGGGCACTACAGTTTAAGAAGGACACTGATTAAACTGGAGAGTGTCCTAAGGTAGGGCCCCTGAAATGGTGTCCTGTGACGACTGGTTGAAGGAACTGGGACCACTTAACCTAGAAAAGAGAAGACTGAAGGAGGACAGGAGCGCTATCTTCAAGTATCTGAAGAGCTATCAAGGCATCATGCCTAGAGGCCAGAACCAGGAGCAATGGTCAGGACTTACAGGGAGGTCCATATAGACTAGATGTCTCTTAGGGAGAACTGTCCATGAGTGGGATGGACCACCTGCAGAGGCTGGGCCACAACATAGCCGAGGTTCTTTTAATGAATGGGCTGGACACTGAGGTCCCTCCCAACTCTCAAATTCTGTGATTCTTTGAATAGAAATCAAGACCTAAGTTCAACATGTTTAGTCAAAAACCTTTAATTATCCTCCTGCATTCACACAATGCATCTCCTATAGTCCCCTGCCTCTGTGCCAAGGGGAGACACATGTATTTCATCACAGGTTTGAAATGTGGGCATGGCTCTCTATGATCACTACTTCTTCTTTTAGAAGCTTACTAACCATCTCTTTAATAATATGTCGTGGAATTTTGCCAGGAATTGAAATCAAGCTCTTCGGCCTCCAGTTTGCAGACTCTCATCCAGGGCAGCTAGGCGGCGCCCTAGTGCACAGAGCACGGGGCCAGGAGTCGAGAAGATTCATCTTCATGAGTTCAAATCTGCCCTCAGACACTTATTTGTTGTGTGACCCTGGGCAAGTCACTTCACCCTGTTTGATTCAATTTCCTCATCTATAAAATGGGCTAGGGAAGGAAATGGCAAATCATACCTCTGCCAAGTAAACCCCAAATGGGGTCACAAAGGGTCGGATGCAACTGAAAAAAACAACACAACAACAACAACAACATTGGTCTTTTTTTGTTGTTCTGCCCTTTTTAGCACAAAGATCATTCTCTTTGGTATACAAAAGGGAAGCAAAATAAGAGGGGAGCAGCTCTGCCTTCTTCTCATTCAGGAGACATGAAACTACTCTGGGCCCAATTTCAGACCAAAGAAATGATGACAATCAGGAGACTGGGATTTGTTTACTCTAGAGGCCTCTAGGTGGCACAGTGGACAGAGGACTGGGCCTAGAGTCAGGAAGACCAGAGTATCTGAGGCTGACTCAGACCTTTACTAGCTGTGTGACCCCAGGCAAGTCAGTTAACCTTTGTCTCCCTCGGTTTCCTCATCTGTAAAATGAGCTGGAGAAGGAAGTGGCAAACCACCCCAGTATCTTTGCCAAGAAAACCCCAATGGGGTTACGAAGAGTCGGATACAGGTGTATAACTTCCTGACTCTGGGCCCAGAGCTCTCTCCAACTCCCTCATTTTGCAGAGGAGTAAAATGAGTCCCAGAGAGGTGAAGTGACTTACCTAAACTCACACATTTAGTAAACAGGAAAGATATCTCAGTTTCCCAGCTGGAAACATGTATATTCCCCAGTATATAGAGCACTAGGCCTGGAGTCAGGAAGATCTAAATTCAAATGTGGCCTCAGGCACTTAGTAGCTGTGTGACCCTGGGCAAGTCACTTAGCCTCTGCTTGCCTCAGTTTCTTCAGCTATAAAGTGGGGATAATAATAATACCTACCTCCCAGAGTTGTTGTGGGGATCAAATGAGTCAATTCTTGTAAAGTACTTGGCACACAGGCACTATATAAATGCTTATTCTCTCCCTCTTCTCCCCTTTCTCACTTTACAAAAATGAAGCAGAGAAAAAATAAAATGGCTTTCACCTATCAGATATACCTGGTTTCACATTGTGATGTTTTCTTTGACATTTCTGATTCTTTTTATCTGACCTGTGATTTCATTGGTGCAGAGAACTCCTAGGTGAGGAAATTCCCTCCACCAATGCAATTTGGTACCTTATAAGCAGTTTAGAGATTGGGATATTTACTTGGGGTACTGTGAGATTAAGTGACTTGCCCAAGGTCATAACAGCCAGGATGGATGTCAGTGGCAGTACTTGAACCCTGGGCTTCCAGAATCCACGCTTCCAAACACTGAAACGCTCTCTCTTAGGTATTCTTTATTAAGGACCCATATTATAAAGTAATGTCATTAATGTGATATATTTTGACCCCAAAGAGAACCCTAAAGGCTGTATTAATTAAATGGCCAATCTTTGCTAATAAAGCAAGATTAGAAATAATCATATGATTTTATAAATCATATGCATGTCAGTTTCACATCTTATATTTGTCTAATTTCTTATCTACGACATCATGTGTATGTATATGTGAGCACATGCGTATTTGGTAGTGGTCAAAGAATAAAATGAAGGGATTTCCAGAAAAGAATTACAAATTCCAAATGATCACACAAAAACATATTCTACCAACTCTGAGGTTTGGCCTTGCCTGGGAAGATTGGCAGAGATGTCAGACAATGGGAACGGTCAATATTGGGGGGATTGTGGGAAAATAGAGCCATCAAAACACTCTTGGTGGAGCTGTGAATCTGGATTTCGATTTGAAATTATTTGAGGAAAGTTACTAAAAATGCCCATCCAGGGGTGGGGAACCTGCATCCTCAAGGCCACATGTGGCCCTCTAGGTCCTCAAGTGTGGCCCTTTGACTGAATCCAAACTTCACAGAACAAATCCCCTTCATAAAAGGATGTGTTTTGTAAGACTTGCACTTGGTCTTTAAGAAGCTGTACCCAAAGAACTAGAAGGCTACATGTAGCCTCGAGGCTGCAGGTTCCCCACTCCTGGCCCATACCCTTTGATTCTCAGATGTCACTACTGGCCTATACCCCAAAGTAGTCAAAGACAGAAACAAAGGCCCAATATATACCAAAATATTAATAGCAGCACTTGTGGACTGGAAGTAAAGTGTGGGGGCCCAATGATTGGAGGATGCTTGAAAAACCAATGGTATTTGAATGTAATCGAATATTATTGTGCAATAATAAATGACAGATATGAAGAACTCAGAGAAACATGGGGAGATTTGTATGAATCGACTGAGTCTAACCCCCTCATTTCACAACCGAGGAACCTGAAGTACAGTGACTTGCCCAAGGTTACATGGCTAGCAAGTGTCTGAAATAGAATTCAAACCCAGCTCTTTCTGATTCTAAACTCCCTGCTCTAGCCATTCATTGCACTACCCAACTCAGTTAGGTTGGGTACAATTCTTTTCCCTCCGGGACTCAGTTGCCTCTTTCATAAAATGAGGGTTGGGGACCAATGGTGTCTAAGATCCATTCCAGTTCTGATGTTTTAGCCACTTGGCTAGAATTAATAGTAAATTAATACTGAGCTAGGTGGTGCTGCAGTGTATAGAGTACTGGGCCTCGAGTCAGGATGTTAGTTCAAATCTGGATTTAGATACTTACTAGCTGTGTGACCCTGGGCAAGTCACTTCACTCTGTTTGCCTCAGTCTCCTCATCTGTAAACTGAGCTGGAAAGGAAATGGCAAACCACTCCAGTATCTTTGCCAAGAAAACCCCATATGGGGTCACGAAGAGTCAGATACGGCTGAAAAACAACTGAATAATGACTTAAAACAACAACAAAAATAGTCATCACCTCACACTTGGACTACTTCAATAGCATGTTGATTGGTCTCCTTGCCTCAAGTCTCTCCCCACTACAGTCCATCTCAGCTGACAATTTAATCTTTGTAAAGTAGAGGTCTCACCTCCCCCATTTAGTAAACTCCTGTGATTCCTTAAAACCTCCAGGTTCAAATATAAAATCCTCTGTTTGATTTACAAAGCTCTTCATAACCTGTTCCTACTTCCCCTCATCCCCCCCCTTCCCCAACAGCCCTTCTCAGTCCTTTTTTTGTCTTTTGGCGAGGCAATTGGGGTTAAGTGACTTGACCAGGGTCACACAGCTAGTAAGCCTAGCAGCCCCCCTTCCCAGTCTTCTTAATTTTACTTACCTCTATGTGCTCTTATCCCTATGACCATTAACACTGGCTTCCTTGTTGTGTCTTGCACATGACACTCGATTTCTGGATTCTATCCATTCTCTCTGGTTGTCCTTTATGCCTAAAAGATTCTCCCTCCTCATCTCTGCCTCCTGGCTTCCCTAGCCCCAGCAAAAATCTCACCTTCTGTAAGAATCCCATATTCTTCTGAGATCATAATAATATTAATAATAATAGGTAACATTTATATAGTGCCTACAATGTGCCACGCACAGTACTAAGTGCTTCATAATTATTATCTCTTTTGATCCTCACAACAACCCTGGGAGGTAGGTGCTATTATTATCCCCATTTCACAGTTGACAAAACTAAGGCAGACAGAGGTAAATGACTTGCCCATGGTCACACAGCTAGTAAGTGTCTGGGGCAGGATTTGAACTCTTCCTGAGCCTGGGGGTCCCCCCCCCCTTCCCGCCATCCACCACAGTACCACCTAGCTGCTACCTTGTCATTACCTCTGATTAATCCTATCTGCAGCTTGTTTGTACTTCGCTGTTTGCACATTCTCTCCCCATTAGACTTTGAGCTTTTTGACAGCAGGAGCTGCCTTTTCCTTTTCTTTGTATTCCCCAGTCCTGCTTGGCACATAGTAGGTGCTTAATAAACACTTGTTGACCTGGCTTGACTAAGCCATAGTTAATAATTGAATGCGGAGAAATCTCAGATGATGTTTTTCTATGTATTAAGCTCCTGCTAGTGGATTTTATTGATTGATTCCCTCAGTCAGCAAACATTTATTGAGCTTGTATCAAGTATAGGGCTTGCTACTGGGCACTGAAGGGGATATAGAGATAAATGACACGAGCCTTTCCCTGTGGGTTCATAGTCCATTAGTGGTGCTAAAATATGGACCCAGATAACTATACCACATAATAATATAGTCATTGCACAGGAGCGAAGGAACAAAGTGCTATGAGACTGGGGCACACTGTAAATCAGGGAAGGTCTCATAGAAGAGACATTGATGAATGGGAAAGGCCACTGGCTTTTAAGTCAAAGAACCTGGTTTCAAATCTCACCGAGGACACTTAACTTACTATTTGTGTTGAGCTGAGGTAAGTCACTTTCCTCCTGGCCTCAGTTTCCTCATTTGTAAACTAAGGAGACTGGACTAGATGCTCTCTGAGGTCTTTCTAGCTCTAAACCTTTGATTCCTAGGTGAGTAACTGCAATGGAAAAATCTTGGTTCAAGGGAGCAGAAGATGAAAGACACTTCTCTCCTCCAGAGAGGGTGTGGAACATTGCACAAGTTTGTGGTTGCTTTGTGAGTTTTGTTTAACTGCTTTTCTTTGTTGCAAGGGAGGGCTCGATGCAGGGTGGGGACGATAAATACGTGGGAAAACGACTATGATATTAAGAAAAAACCTACCAACCCATCAATTAAAAAAAAATAAAGACATGGGAACTGGCCAGGCATATCAGACAGTAAATGGTATGGGGGTGGGGGTGGGAAGAAGCCCTCATTAAGTGCCTACTATGTGCCAGGCACTGGGCTAAGTGCTTTACAAATATTGTCTCATTTGATCTAGATCTTGAAGGATCTAGAGCTCATTGGTCTAGCCACATCCTTTTACAGATGATGAGTAACTGAGTTCCAGAGAGTTGAAGTGATTGACCTAGGACCCTAGATCTAGAGCTGGAGGGGACCTCAGAGGCCATTTGGTCCAACCCCTTCACTTTACCAAAATTGAGGGCCCATGGAGGGAAAGTGACTTGCCCAAGGTCTAACAGCTAGCAAGTAGAAGAGCTCGAATTTGAACCCAGGTATTCTGCCTCTGAAGTCCACTGTTCTTTCCACTACACTCTAAAGAGGCATTGATGGGGCTTCTGGGGAGGAGGCCTTTGAAGGTAAGCAACTAGTCTAATTTGACTCTGGAGCAGCAGAGGAAACGGAGAGAGATAAGACCTGTCAATTATTACCACTAGGGCTGGGTTTGTGTAACTGACTAGACTAAAGCAACCCTCTTCTTCTTACCTCCCACAGTTAATCATTCACGACACGCATTTATTAAGCAGCCACCAGGAACCAGGCACTGGACTAGGCGGGGGACACAAAGGTGAGGTGGTGGTAAATTAATCAATCCTTCGATCATTCCCCCTTCCCGCTCCAGCCTCTTCCTTGCCCCCCCCCCCGGCCCCTCTCCCAACATTTACACCGGTGCAAGCAGGCCTGCAGCCCAACTTGCCAGTGCGGTCTCTAGATGCTGGAGGGAGCGCTGAACGCCCGCCCCACCCCTCCCCTTGGTCATCTCGCCCCTCCCCTCAATAGCCCAGCCCACCCACAGCCTAAACTACGCCCCTTACCCTCAGCCCCGCCTTGTCCCCGCCTAGCTCCGATCCCCTGCCTGCTGATTGGCCGAGATCGGAGCCCCGCCTCACTTCATCATAAGACCTGGGGTCGAGGCGTCCGTGTCTAATTGCTCCGCTGCCGTGTCTCTAGGCTCCAGGGTCTCGACCATCTGACTCTACCTGGAATTTGTTTGCCACCTTCGCCCCCCCTGGGCCAGGACCATGTCGCGCAGCTGCCGTCTTCATCTCCCCCTCCTCAGCCGGGGCTCGGCCTTTGCTTTGCTCTGTCTCTTACTGAGTGAGTGGGGGCTGACGGGGGGGGGGGAGGGAAGGGGAGACCGGGCCCAGCTCTTACCCTGGCTCCGGGTCCGAGGCCGAGGCTGGGGCGCCCCTTACACGGAAGCGATGACAGTGCGCGGGGAGGGGGGCCGAGGCCGGGGCCAGGGCCGGAACCGGAGGGAGCCCGAGGTGGGGAGCGGCCTGGCCCCTTGGAACTGGGGAGAAGAGGAGCTTGTGGAATGAGGGAGGGGCGGCGACTGAGGAGTGAACAAGATGAGAATGGGGGGGGGAGGTTCGTGGGAGCCGAATGACTAAGGTGAGAGTGGAGGGGAGGGGCTGTCGTGAAAGAGTAACCTCGGTGGTGGGGGTGGGTAAGGAGCGACCTACATGGGATGAGGGACTGTTGGGGGGCCCGAAGAGTGACCAGATTGAGGGGGGGCTGCGATCAAAGGAGTGACCTAGATGAGAATGTAAGGGAGGATACCAGGGGGAGAGGAATGACCAAAGTGGGAGTGGGGGGGGGAGGTGTGCAGTTGAGTGGTAATCTAGGAGAGAGATGGGGCTGGGGGCTTTGGACTAACCTAGATGAGAGGGTGGATGGAAGGAGCAGAGGAGTGACAAAAATGGGAATGGGAGGAGGTGTCAAGGACTGAAAAATGGCCTAGGTGGAATGGGGCAGGGGGAGGATAGGTGGCCCAAGGAGTGACCAAAGTAAGAGTGAGATGGTCAACTCAAGGGGGACCTGGGCCTGGTGGGAAAATGGTATGGAGGCCACGACCAGTTTGAATCCAGACTCTGAAGCTGAGGAGGCCTTAGTGTGAAGGGAATTCTTTCATCTGGGAGACACCCTCTCCCCCAGTCATTTCTCTTTCTTTGAGTGGTTAGGAAGGGAGCCACCCCACCCTGGACTCAGTTGAGGTGGTTTCACCTAGCTTGAGTTGCATTTAGGGATCTTGTCTAATACCTGGCTCCTCAGTCTATCTGTCCCTTTTCAGTCTTCTCCCCTTCCCCCTCATTCTGTTATTACCTTCCAGGGATGTTTTATGAGAAAAGCATTCCAGAGTTCCATAACTAACTTAGTTCAGACACTCAGCCTCATATAGAGGAGGGTGTAGGCTGGTTTTTAAATGAGGGTTGGAGGAAAAAAAAAAACCAAACTTGCTAGTGGATTGTAAATAACCCCCATATATTTTACCTGTAGAAGAATTAATCTTGTCATCCAGTCTGCTAACCTCTCTCCCCATTTGCCCCCAGAAAGGTCACAATTTCAACTTTCCCTCCGCTTTCTAAACTCTCCTGTAAGCCTTAGAATGGAGCTCACAGAGGTCAGCTAGGTGGCACAGTGGATAGAGCACTGGCCCTGAACTCAGGAGGTCCTGAGTTCAAATCTGGCCTCAGACCAAACGCTTGACACTTACTAGCTGTGTGACCCTGGGCAAGTCACTTAACCCCAATTGCTTAAAAAAAAAAAAGAATGGAGCTCACAAGTACTGTGACATTTCAACTGTTTTAGACAGATGATGAACAGTTCCAAGGGCTTTGGATTGAGAACTTCCATGAAAGTGCCAAAAACAGATCTCTCTAAAGCCAACTTGTTGAGGCATATACTGGGGTAGTCATAGATGTTTCCTTAGGACATGCTGTTAGAGGGATTAATGAATATGTAGGCACTGATATGATAAATCCTCATATCAATTCTTAGGTATGACGACAGCTAAGGATTGTCACGAAGAACTAGAAAGACCTTGGGCATGTTTGAGAACTTTATGGTCCTCATAAACAGAATTGCCTTTCCAAGAATTTGCTTGAATTCCATTTAGAATATAGGCATTTGAAATGACTTGTTTAGTATTTAGTTAAGTAAGCATTTGATCCTCACGTCTTGTATGTTTGTGAGGTTTAAACATTGTTTTCAAGTTTTTTGTTGTTGTTCATACATCATTTTAACTTCAGCAAGAAGTGTTCAAGTATATGAACTGTAACAAACACAACAGTGAAACAAAATAACTGTAAATCGTCCCAGCATAACTAAACTTTTGCCAGGATTGTGCCTTCAGACGTAAGCATTCTTCTACTTGTGCTAGGTTTGTTTTGGTTTTTTTCCCCCATGAATTCCTTATAATATAGCTGTCCTACTCTCCTGCTTCCTGTGGATTAACTTTGCAATATTACAATAGATTATACTTCTAGATCTTGGTTCCTGGAGCCTCTGAAATGGGCAAAGCCTTCTTGTCATAATCTTACTTTGAAGTGGGTACAAATTGTTCTGATATGAAATGATTTGCTTGGAGTCAAGACTGTCTTGAGGGAGATAGCTCTGGAGGTTGGCCAAATTGACAGATCTTCCCATGGTAGTGTTTCTTTCTTCTGCTCTTTCTCAGAATGAACAAACATTTGATTGGAAAAAAAAAGTTTAAACTCTGAAGTTTTCAATCATATTGCTGTTTAATCTTCAATCATTTTAAACACCTAACAAATGTGAAAGTCTCTGGGATGTGGATCCATTCATGACAGTGAGTGAAGGGTACTAGTTAATTCTCTCATGGGGAAACTTGATTGAAAAAAGATTAATTAGATGGAGAACCACACATCAGTAGAGTCAAAGAACCTTTATGATTTCTCATCATAAATCAAAGTTAATGTCAGCTTGGGGTGAGAATCCTAGACTGTGTGAAGAGAGTAATTGTTAGCAGCAAAGTTGTCTTTGAGGAGTTAGTGCCACGTAGTAAATCAGAACAACCCAGTAGAGATTTGCTACAGAGGATCTTCTTCTCCCTCCATTCCTAGTTTTTCTGTAAGCTCTAGAACAGGGATGGGGAACCTGTGGCTGCACTTGAGGATCTAGAGGGCCACATGTGGCCTCGAGGCCACAGCTTCCTCACCCCTGCTCTAGAAACTCTGAAGGACATATATTTTTGAAAGATATCTTTTGAGAAATTCATATTGTAGTTTGATTTTTAAGTGTTTTTAAAAACTCCCCTCTGTATCCCCTTTGCTGTTTCATCGCCTTTGTCCACTCCTCTTTTTTTTTCCTCCCTAACTAGGAAATGATGCCAGTAAGGGCAGTGTTGGAGTGAATCATTGTATGGGTTACAGTTTGTTTGCTGTCCCAGAGGGTCTGGAGGTGGGAAATTGGACTTAGGGATGGTAATCTTAATGGGAATGGAAGTGGGGAGCAGAGAATTAGAGATGTTAAAAAGGGTTTGTGCTGATTTACTTTGCAAAACCTTTTTCAAATACTGGGATTTGAAGGGGAAATAATTTTGAGAACCCCCGATTTGAAAGCATGCTTCCTTTGGATTCCTTACAGCTGTCATTCCAAGCTTTGGCTTTGTTGCCATACCAGGGTATGTCCATAATTTTTTTTTTTGATGAGGCAATCTGGATTAAGTGACTCGCCCCGGGTCATACATCTAGTAAGCGTCAAGTGTCTGAGGTCAAATTTGAACTCAGGTTTTCCTGACTCCAGGGCTGGTGCTCTATCCACTGTGCCACCTAGCTGCCCCATGTCCATAATTTTGAAATACACAGTATAGTGAAATGATAATGACTAAGGTTGGCCCCAAAGAAGAGCTGTGAGGAGGCACCTCCCATGGCTTCTTTGCAGAGGTGGGGGACAATGGGTATGGAATACTGCATATATAGTCTCATAAGACTTTTTTTTTTGCTGTGTTTTGCTGAATTCTTTCCCCCCCTCCCCCCTTATCTTTTGTTATAAAGGATGGCTCTCTGGGAGGGATATATTGGCAAATGGAGGTGAAATAAAGATGGAAGATATTGATTGAAAATGTGTGTATATGTGTATTATCTTTTTGGAGAACAGGGTGTCCTGAGAGCAAACAATGATCCTTTGAGAATCATCCCATTAGAGACTTGACTGCAATATAGAACTAACTGTCCTCTTAATTTGCTGGTTTCAGGTCAAGATAGGGATCAACATTATTGTTGCTATGATAAAAATCAACAAAGAAGTAGTAAAGGGCCTATTTCTCCCTTAATCCTATGCCAATACCCTACCCACAGGCTGTAACTTTAAGTGAGAGATAGGCTTCTTCTGTACTTGTTGTCTCCTTGGGGAAACTAGGTTGAGACAAATGCCCTGTTGATCTAGTAGAGAAGGCCTGGGCGTCAGGAAGACCTGGGTTCAAATCCCACCTTGGAGGCTTATGGAGGTGACTCTAAACAAGTCACTTAGATTTCCAAAATGAAGGACTCAGTGAATTCCAAGTTTCCCAGTCGGTGCCCCTATAACATAATGCTATCTGATTGTGACGGCATATTATGGACTATAACGAGTCTAAGTACAGCTTACTCAGTAAAGGCTTCTGGGACAAGCTGAGACTTGAGCTGAGCCTTGAAGGGTGGAGAGAATGCCCATAGAAGGACAACCATTTCCCCTAGTGAGAAATAGCCATAGGAGCAGAAAGGAGCATCATGTGGTCAGGGGAAGATGATTAGAAGAAAGGCTGGTACTTGGGGGGATATGAAAA